ACAGTACATAGCTTGATCATTATTTAGTTTACTGTCTATGAACAGTTTATAAACTGTTTACTACTATTTACTGTTTATTTACGAGTCCTCTGTGAACATAAGTAAACTAAACAGTTGGAGCCTTGGCACTATGCCTTGCTGTTGTGGGTAGGGAAAAAATGACAAGAGCGAGATTCGAACTCGCGCCACTTTCGTGACCGGGATGCAGCTGACAGTAAGTCAGCAAGCTATCAAAGCAGCTTGAATCCGGCGCCTTGGACCGCTCGGCCATCTTGCCGTATAGCCAAAATAGCAGGAGCTCAATAGACTTTTCAAGGACGCGGTCCTCACAGTCGAAAGCTCCAGTCCTTTTGCAGCGTTTTCGGAAGAAACTAGTTATCTGTAAGATACGCAGAAGTACAGAGGGGAGGAACGATACAATACAGGTATATAACATGATGCATGATATTGTACGATACGATAACCCAAAGCGGCAACCAATGCGATAGAGAGTAAGAAGAGAACAAGAAATGTAATGTCCGGTGTGGGAGTAAATATCACAAAGAAGAGGGGAAAACAAGGAAAGACGGAGTGATAGAAAGGTTCACAGATAGCTCGAAAGGGAACAGAGGCTTCAACTTCCGCTGCGAACCTATGCGATCACGCAGCTTCGTCCACCGCCGCCGTAGGCTCCTGAGCCTTTCGCCCGTGTAGTGAGGGAAACACGTGCGGCCTCGTAGAATACTTCGTTGACACCGCGATTATGCTTCGAACTGCATTCTGGAAGTATAATGATGAGCAAGAAGATCAGATGAAATGACAAGGGATCGTACATACCGAGGTATCGTGATGCACGTATTCGTCGCGCGACGGTGAGGCCTTCTTCATATTGAACGGTGTGCATGCTGTAGCGGGCCAGCCGCTCCAGCGTGGCGCGATCGTCCCGAAGATCACATTTTAGCGCTAGGTTCATTCCCAGTGTCAGCAGAAGCAGCGGGAAGGGTGAACATGGAAGTGCACACCTACGAGAACTAGCTGTAGCGGACATGATCTTTAAGGTTTGCCGCGTACTAGAAGACAAGAAGCTCACCTTGACCCCTGGGCAATATTCGAGGATCTCGTCAAGCCACTGCGAGCAATACAGTTGGAGTTTCCCCTCAACTTCGCAACAGCGTGGAGACTTACCTTGGATTCTACGTTCTCCAGAGAGGTAGGGTTGTCAATCTTCCACGTCCGCAGCTTGAGTATAATAGTCTTTGATGGATTGAGGGACTTACAGAGAAGCAGAGCATGATTACATGCGTTTCTGCGTAGCTGAGCGATCGTAGCCTATCAAATTCCTCCTGTCCTAAGATAAAACTAGAAACATTAGAAGGCACACTCCCTTCGACAAGCGGCGGCCGTACCAGCAGTGTCCCACAGACTTAATTCCACCAGTGCGTCATCGACATAGATGTCATGGACGTAGTTCTCAAAGACAGTAGGCTCGCTGAAAGCAGTAATGAGGGATGGAAGATATATGCAGCGTAACAGGACGCACTAGACTTGAGTAAAGAACCCTCTTGTGAAAACGTTCAGCAGTGAAGTCTTCCCTGTGTGTGGGGTAGGATTGAGTCTCGACACGGCCTATGGATACCGTGTAATCGCCTCACCGCACGCGCCATCGCCACATACGACGACCTTTCTTTGTATCTAGAGGGAAATGAGCGGGGTATGACACATATGCACGCGTCGCCACGTACAGGTCTTCCTCTAGCAAACGACGGTGCCACACTTGAAGGTCCGCATACTGGCATCACTCGCAGAAAGCAGTTGGATTTCACGAGTGTGTTCAGAGACACGCTGAATGTTTTGCTAGGTGTGTCGTAAGTGTGGGCGAATATCTTGGGTGAGTTTTGGCGGATGTCGTGGACCTGGTGGGGAAGCAAGAAATAGCGGACAGCTCGTGGAAGGTAAAGTCAGAGTATGGGCGTCTAGTGTATGTACTGAGAGCCGCGGTGTTCGTCATGGGTTCAACACAGCCTCCTCGCTTGCAGGTTCACACAAATGTACATGCGCAGTGGAAAGTCGAAACGCAGCTATATTACAACAATTCTTTGACATACATATCCACAAGAAAATACAAATTGAATGTATGGATAGCAGCAGGACAGATGGTATCGTCCAAATCACAGAACCTAGTCGCCTCTACTTAATAGTTGACATGCTCGATCTGGGCGACAAGGTCCTGCCACACACTCTGCATGTTTCCTTCTGGTGAGTACCGTCCGTTGACGTCGCCTTCTCCACCGACCACAAAGCCGTTTGCTCCATTGTCGGCGTAGCCGTAGTCGAAGACGGGGAAATATTGCGGGAGAGCCTGCTGCGTCATGGTGAGAGGTGAAAGCTGGTGCGCAGTCTGGAAGGCAGAGCTCGGACCATAGCTCGAAGAGGTGGCGGAGAGGGGGGTCATCTCGGCAAAGGTGGTATGCTCATAGGGCGACGATAGCTGCGACTGCGGCTGCATCTGGTGAGGGTGGGGGGCTTGGTGAGGGTTGTTGAAAGTGCGAAGATACTCAAGCACGACCGGATGCGTCTGCGCGTCGAGGTCAGGCTTGATAGGGAATGGCACGATGGGGTTTGCAGAGATAGGCGAAAAGTTGCCGAGGACAGGCGATAGAGACTTTTCCTTCTGAGCGACAAGACGTGTGCGGCCGCCCAAGACGCTGAGCTCGTCGTTGTCGTCTGCAGGGGTGGAGGGCTCCGAGAATGAGCCCTGGCCGGCTGGCGGGGTGCTCCTGAATTGGGCAAGACTCGCGTGGGCTTTCTGGCGGAGGTTCTGCATGATCAACTGTATGGAAATCGGTGAGCTCAGTTCCGACTTGGATCGGAGGCTTGGTCAGACGCACCAACACATTCTGGGCGTGAAAGAGATGTGCCGTCTTCGCAAACAGATCGCACGCTCCATCCAATTGGACGAGTGCAGACGGGGCCAGGCTCATCGACGGGCAGCGCGTCACGATCGATCCCAGAATAATCTGCAATGCTGTGAGTTCTGCGCCAGGTTACGGGGCAAGATAGCACTAACGGAGCACGAGAACAGGTGTGTCCACAGGAACCACATTCGCTCAGACAGCTCTTTCAGCTGTGAGTGGATATTCCGGACGAGGGCGACAAGTGACCCTGCGCTGCGGTATGCGGCTATAAACGAACTACCGTACGGGCTACCCAGAGGATCCTTCGGGTGGTCGTTCACGGCTCTTGCGAAGAAGCCCCTGTGCATGTCTGATTGCATGTGTCATGTAAGTCCGCGAAGAATCGGACGCAAGCGAGGACGTACATAACAGATCTAGAACAACAATGTTAGGTTTCCCTGGCTACACTAGGATCTACAAAGACAAGCAAACTCACTCGATTCCCGGACAGCCAATACTAAGTGGCGTTGCAAAATCAGCGGCACTGAGTCATATGCTCCTGTTCGTGCGTCTGCGCTGCCGAAGCCAGCGATTTGAAGAATCGCAGGAACATGGAACCCTCGTAGTTTGCGGTCAAGCTGCAAGACCGTGTTGTATGTGGGCATTTTTGCGCCAAACGCCTGGTCGTACACTGCGTGCATGCATTCCGAGACATACCGATGCTTCCACCAATGAACTAGCAATGGAATTAGATGGCGTTGGGCGGAAGTGTATTATGATACTTACAAGTCTCCTCATCATGAGGCTCTTCTATATGCGGCTTTTTGCAATCGACATGGGCAAGATAGAATGACGGCGGTCTCCCCATCGTGTAGCACTTTGTGGACGCCGTCAACGTATGTAAAGGTGTGCTACTCTCAGACACACCTGTAAAAGATCGTAGACATAGAGTTCCCAGAAGGCTTGCCGCCGTCTCTGGATCTCCCTGGCGTCGACATTTTTCCAGCGCCCGGCATCCTTGTCTGTCAAATTATTTAGGCAATTGAGTCGCCGACTTTCACACGAATTACGTACGGAGGCCCATCTGTGGAATAGAAATGAGCAGCTATTGGGTGCATTTTCACATGCGCTGGTCATGAGATTGACTCACGCTTATGCCGAGCTTCACTGCCAGGCCCATCAACGCCCACCGCGACCCGACCCCACTCCCATACCTCTCGGAGAGGAAGAGGTAGAATGCCATGAGGTACTAGTGAATGGAGTATGAGCGTGATAAATGACCGCATACGCCCAGCAAATGACCTACCAGGACTTGAACGGCGAACAAAGTGGGCTCTTCGAAGATGGGGCTTTGGAACAGCGCTGCTCGCGCAAGCTGATGGTACTTCTCAGCCTCGATATTGTAGGGAGACCGCTTGGTATCCATCAAACTGCCGATGGCAAGAACCATGAACATCAGCGCGAGCTGATGTGACAGGAGTGGGTCATCGATGTCTGGCAGAATATTCGGGTTGTAGAATTGATTGAAGACCGTATCGTTGAATTCGTCGAGAGAAATAATATTGTACCTGGGTAGGGAGAATCGTCAGCATATTTTTGACTCAGAACAACACCAAAGTTATGGTACATACTCCCAGGCTGGAATGGAGACATGGCGTTAGTGCGACTGATGCGATCTTGCTGCGAACGACGTACCGGCATGCTGGAAGTAAATATGTCGCAAATCCGCAGCCTCATCAGCAGGTGGCAAGTACCAGTATATACTTTTGAGGCGTGTACCGCGCTCTTGCATCAAGTCTAGTGTGGCGGGGATGTTGGGCGCAATAGGGAAGAATCCTGATATGGACAGGATCTCCGCCGGGAGTATTTTTCTCAGTGCCCCTAGACGGTCTTCTTTCTCCTGCTCATGCTGCTCGTTCTATTGTAGAGTAAGGGCTTTGCTCTATGCAACGGTGGCTATGTGTGGCAGCATACCTGCAAGAAATACTGCGGTGCTCATGTCAGTGCGCTGCGGCCGTACGCACAGGATGATGAAACACACCCAAGAGCTGGTTGCTTGACCAAAGTAGTTTGTGCGGCCAGTGTCACTGATGGATAGCGAGCCAAACGAGTCGACAACGTCACCGCCTGGCTCGTCAGCACTGCTGTTCGCGATTGCTAAGTTCTCCCGCTGCAACGGGGCCTTGATCCGGAGGAGGTCCTCGGATAGGAGCGGGTGGGTGTCCTGAGAGTGTATACTATGGGATGTTCTGAGCCCATCCTCGAGCTCTCTCACACGAGTGGAAAGTTCTTCAATCTTCTGGTGTAGGTCTTGTGTCGAGGCGAGTACGAAGCGAGTTGCGCTACACGAGGATCCATGAATACCGTTAGTAGTCAGTCAAGACATTTACTCACCGGTTTCCCT